GGTTGTCGAGAGGCCGGAGCTGGGCCTGCGGCCGCAGCCGGGAAAAGGAGGAACTGGGACGGGAGGGGAGGCCGGGAGGTCGCAACTGGGCCTGGAGAGGCCGGCCTGTAAAAATTCGGGGCCTGGAGAGGCCGCCAAAAGGCAAAGGCTGGGCCTGGAAAGGCCGTTCCCCGTGACGAATGAGCCGGGCCTAATGAGGCCACCGGGAGGCAGGAGCGGGGCCCGGCGGAGCTGCCGAAAGGCAGGAAGAGCTCTGGCCTCTGGAGGCCGCAGTCAGGCGAGAGCTGGACGTGGAGAGTCCACTGTGAGGGAGAGGCTGGGCCTGTGCAGGCCTTCGGAGGGCAGGAGGCAGGGCCTGGCGAGGCCGACTTTAGGTCAAGTCTTGGGCCTGAGGAGGCCGCCCAGAGGCGTGAGTGGGGCTGGGCCTCAAGAGGCCAGTGGCAGGCCGGAGGAGCTGGGCCTGGAGAGGCTGACCTGAGGAAGTCTGGCAGCTGGAGAGGCAGCGGAGAGGCAGGAGCTGGGCTGGCGGAGGCCGACTGATCGACGAGTTGGGCCTGCAGGGGACGTCGGGCGTAGGAGCGAGCCCTGGAGATGCCGACTCGAGGCCAGCGTGGGCCTGCAGAGGCCGACGGGAGGAGGAGCTGCGCTTGGAGAGGCTGGCTGGAGGAAGTCTGGGGCATGGAGACGCCATCAGAGAGCGGGAGCCGGGTCCGGAGAGGCCACCGTGGGGCCCGGCTTCAGGAAGTTTGGGACTACAAAGTCCGCGGAGCGGGAGCTGGGCCGGATCCGGGTGCAAAGAGGTTGTCGTGAGGCCGGAGCTGGGCGTGCGGCCGCAGCCAGGAACAGGAGGAGCTCGGCCTGGACGGGAGGCCGGGAGGCCCCAACTGGGCCTGGAGAGGCCGGCCTGAGGAATTTCGGGGCCTGGAGAGGCCGCCAAAAGGCAAAGGCTGGGCCTGGAAAGGCCGTTCGCCGTGACGAACGAGCCGGGCCTAATGAGGCCCCCGGGATGCAGGAGCGGGAGCCGGCGGAGCTGCCGAAAGGCAGGAGGAGCTCTGGCCTGGGGAGGCCGCAGTCAGGCGAGAGCTGGGCGTGGAGAGTCCGCTGTGATGCAGAGGCTGGGCCTGTGCAGGCCCTCGGGAGGCAGGAGGCTGGGCCTGGCGAGGCCGACTGGAGGTCAAGTCCAGGGCCGGAGGTGGCCTCCCAGAGGCGTGAGCCGGTTAGGTCTCAAGAGGCCAGTGGCAGGCAGGAGGAGCTGGGCCTGGAGAGGCTGACCTGATCAAGTCTGGCAGCTGGAGAGGCCGCGGAGAGGCAGGAGCTGGGCCGGAGGAGGCCGACTGGGCGACGAGTTGGGTCTGCAGGGGCCGCCAGCGCCAGGAGCAGGAGGAGCAAGCCCTGGAGAGGCCGGCTGAGGCCAGCGTGGGCCTGCAGAGGCAGCCAGGGAGGCAGGAGCTGGGCCTGGAGAGGCTGGCTGAAGTCTGGGGCATGGAGGCGCCCGGGGAAGGCAGGAAACAGGTGGAAGAAGAGCCACGTGAGCCAGCTTCGGAGCGTTAGAACCTAAAACCCGAATGAAACTAGGCGGAGGAAGGAAGTCAAACAGAGTTATCGAAGGCAGGCTAGGCCTCGGCGCAGCGGAAAAAAGAGAACTAGGCAGAAGAGGCGGAAAGTATAACTAGGCCTAGAGCAAGCCTATAAAAATTAGGAGCCTAGGAGGCCGCAAAAGGCAAAGGCTGGAGCCTGGAAACCGTTCCATGTGGCGAATGAGTTGGAGCTAATGAGGCCCACAGGAGAGCAAGGCAGAGCCAGCCAGGCCTACGAAAAGCAAGGAAAAACTCTAGCCTCAGAAACCGCAGTCAGGCAGAAGCTGGGCGTAGAGAAGTCTGCTGTGATGCAGAGAGCTGGGGCCTGTGCAGGCCCTCGGGGAGAGCAAGGCTGAGCTGTGAGCGACTAGAGAATAAACTCAGGGCCTGAGAGAGCCACAGAAGCGTAAAGCGAGAGCTGGTCTCAAAGGCCAATGTAGGCAAGGAACTAGGCCTAGAGAAGCCCAATACAAAGAAAAGAATCTAGCAGCTAGAAAACATGGCTAGGAAGCTATGCAGCCAGGCGAGCTAGAAGCGTGAGTTAGAGCCTACAGGGGAGCCGCGAGGCTAGGGGCGATCCTTGGAAGGCCGGCTGAGGCCAAGCGTCGCCTACAGAGGCCGCTGGGAGGAGGCTGGAGCCTGGAAAGCCTACTGGAGCAAATTCGGGGCCTGGAGAGGTACAAAGCTGCAAAGCCCACGAAAAGAGCCGCCCTAGAGCCATGCGGCCTAAGCGTCTTTAGAGGCCACCAGGAGGTAAGGCAGGTTAGCAGAGGTCGCGAAGGCGAGGCATGGCCGCGGGCCGCAGCACGGTAGAAGTCCCTGGAGGAGCCCACTGTATCAGGCAAGGCAAGGGCCTTTAGAGCGCCTACAGGCAAGGCTAGGCCTGGAGGCGCGGCAAACCGGCCGTGTGAGGAGGACCTTAGCCTGGAAGCCAGTGGGAGGCAGGAGCTGACACCTCACGAGGCAAGCTGCAGAAGCCTGACCTGGGCCTAAGCAGGCCACCGCGGAGATAAGGCTGAGCCTGTCAAGGCTGCTGGAAACCAAACAAGAATATGACCCGAGAGGAAACTCCGTGGCCCAGCGAGCTTCGTCTCAAGCCCAGGGAGAGCAAGGCAGAGGCCTGCAGAAGGCTGTTTCAGGCGGCTTAACTGGAGTCGTACAGAGCCAAGCAGGAGGCAGGAGGTAGGCCCGAAGAGCTTCATGGGAGAAAAGTTCTGGGCCTACAAAGGCTGACAGCAGCTGGGCAGGAGCTGCGCCCAAGAGGCTGTTGCTTTCAAAGGCGGGAGTTAGGTCTGGGAGGCCGCAGCAGGGAGGAGGAACTTCAGCGTAGCAGCGCTTCAGGAAGCAAGCTAGGTCTGGGCGGCCGGCCTGAGAGTTCGGCCTGAAGAGGCCGCAGAAGAGGCAAGAAGTGGGCCTGTAAAAGGCCGTTCGAAGGAATAGGCTGGAGCCTAAAGTCTTCACTAGAGGAGAGCAGGAAGCGGCGCCTGTCAAACTGTCGAAAGGCAGAACAGCTCTGGACTCACGTGGAGGCCAAAAGAGCTTGATTGGAGACAGTATCTAGCCTACAGGCGTAGTAGGATATGTGCAGGCAGAGACAAAAGTTGTGTTTGAAGCAGGAGTTAGGCCTGTATATGCAGCCGGGAAGACCTTGGCCTGTGGAGGTTGCCATGAGGCAGAAGCTGGAGCCTGCAAGTGCGTCGGAGGCAGTAACTAGACCTGGGCCAGACCCAGTCCGGGATGGTTTAAACCTGCAGAGAGGCCCCATGTGGAGTTTGGCCTAGTGAGCTTGCGTTAGGGAAGTTTAGGCCTATAGGCCGTCAGGAGCTTAACCAGAGAAAACGTCCTAGAGGTTGTTGTCTGGTTGGAATTAGCGTATAAACACAGCCGGAAGATGACCTGGGCCAGGAGAACCACCATGTGGCAGCAAATGGAGTCTGGAGAGTCAGTTGAAGCGTTCTGGAAAAGCCCAGAAGCCATCAACAGGGAAAAACTGGGCCTGTAAAATCCATTATGTAGAATGAACTGATCTTAAAGGCCACTGGGAGGCAGAGGTGGGCCTGGGAGGCTGACTTGAGGCAGTTGTGCACCTGGAGAGTCTACTTAGAGCCAAAGCCGGGCCTAGAGGCAGCGTGAGGTCAATTTTAGCCTGCAAGCCACAGAAGACAGAGTTAGTCCTGGAGAGGCCAAATTGAGGACAATTTGGCTGCTGGGAGAAGCTGGGCCTGGAGAGACCGACTGGAGTGGTGGGGGCATGGAGGCTGTGATGCACAAGCAAACACTTGGCCTGGAGGGGAAAGTCTGCTGTGAGGCATTAAGCAGCCTACACAGCACTGGGAGGCAGGACCTGGGCCTGCAGAGGCTGACTTCAGGATGATTTGGGCCTGCAGAGGCCTTTGGGAGGAAGATCTTGGCCTGGACAGGCTGGATGGAGGAAGTTTTGGGCCTGGGTATCGTCAAAAGCAAAAAGTTAAGATAGAAAAGGCCACTGGGAGATGAGCTTAGCCTACAGAGGCCATTGTGAGGCAGGAGCTTCACCTGAGGAGGCCATGATCAGGTGGAGCCTGGAAGGAGCCACTGTGTGGTAGAGTTTGGGCCTGTAGGCTGATGTAAGTGGGAGCTGGGTTGGGGAGAGGGCAACTTTTAGAGAACTGGGGCCTGCAGAGGCTGGGAAACAGAGCTATGCCTGGAAGTCCACCTTTTGGCATGAGCTGGGCCTAAAGGGAGCCATTGTGAGCAGCAGCTGGACTTGTCGAACTGCTGGGAGACGAAACAGATTGTGGCCTTAGGAAGCTGCCGTAAAGCAAATGCTGTTTTAGGAGGATTCCGTGAGGCAGGAGCTTTTAGCTTTGCAAGCTGCCATGAGGGAATAGTTTAATTGCTGAGGCTGCCGGGAGGCCGAAGGTGGGCCTGGAAAGCTTTACTTTAAGAAGTCTGTGGCCTACAGAGGCTGCCAGCAGCTCGGTAGGAGTTAGACAAAGGAAGTTGTTTTGAGGCAGAAATGGGCCTGTAGGCGCAGCCAGGAGAATGAACTTCGTCCCAGAGATGCCGAGTTGAGAGGATATTCTGGAGCCTGGACAGGCTGCAAAAGGCAAAATCTGTGCCTGGAAAAGTCGCTATGGGGCATGAGCTTGGCCTAAAGAGGCCATTGCAAGGCAGGAGATAGCCCTGTAGAAGCTACGAAAAGCAGGATCTTCACCTGAGGATGCCACATTAAGACATGATCTGGGTCTGGAGGAGTCCACTGTGAGGCAGAGGCTGGCCTGTAGAGTCAACAGTATACAGAAAATTAGGCCTAAAAGACTGATTTGAGGAAGTTTGGAGGGCTTCAAGAGTCAGTCAGAAGGCAGGCACTGGAGGCCTGAATATAGCAAGCAACCAAGGAGATTAGGCCTAAACAAACCAGTGTAAAGGCTCAACTGTGCCTGTTGAGGCTGCTGGCAGGCAGTCAGAAACTTGGCCTGGGGCAGCTGCCATGAGGCAAGAGCTGGGCCTGGAGAGGCTGCCAAGATGCAGGAGCTAGGCCTGGAGAGGCCAGTGTGAGGCAAGAGACCAGCCTGTAGAGGCCGACCTGAGGAAGATTTTGGCCTGGAGAGACTGTCGGGGGCAGGAGCTGGGCCTTTCGAGCCTGCTGGGAGACAGGCAGGAACTTGGCCGAGGACGGACTCCGTTAAGCAAGAGCTGAGCCTGGAGAGGCCATGGTCACGCAGGAGCTGGACCTATTTAAGCTGCTGGGAGGAAGGTTGTGCTAGAGAACGTGATGTGAGAAAGCTTTGGGCCTATAAAGGCTGCCAGGAGCTGGGCAAGAGCTGAGCTGAAAGAGGTTGTTGTGACGTAGGAGATGGGCCTGGAGATGCAGCCGGGAGGAAGAGCTGAGCCTGGAGAGGCCCACTTGAGGAAGGCCTGGAGAGGCCCACTTGAGGAAGTTCTGGGCCTGGAGATGCTGCCCAGCAGGCAAAGCTGAGCCAGAATGGCCGCTGTGAGGCATGACCTTGCTCTAGAGAGGTCATTGAGAGGCAGGAGCTGGGCCTGCAGAGGCTGCTGAAAGGCAGGGCTTGGCCTGAGTGGCCAGGAAAGTCTCCTGTGAGCCCAGAGGTTGAGCCTATAGAGGCTGACGGGAGGCAAGAATTGGGCCTGGGATGGCGGACCTGAGAAAGTTCTTGGTCTGAAGAGAAGCTGCAGGATGCAGGAACTGGGCCTGGAGGGAGACCTGGAGGCCACCCAAGGCATGAGCCGCCTGAGGCCAATGTTGGGCAAGAGCTGAGACTGGAGGAAGCTGACTTGAGGAAGTTCGGGCACGGACAGCAGCCTGTTGGGGGCAGGACCTGGGCCTCGACAGGCCACAGTGAGGCATGAGCTGGGCCTAACGAGGTTAGTGTGAGGCAGGATCTGGGCCTGTCGAGCTGGCCGGGAGGCAGGTAGGAGCTTGTTTGGGGAACATGTCCGTGAGGCAAAGGAGTGGGCCTGGAAGCCATTATTACGGAGCTAAGACCTTTCCAGGCCATTGGGAAACAGAGGTGGGCCTGGAAAGCTTGACTTGAGGCCTTTTGGGCCTTCAAAGCCCACCAGGAACTGGGCAAGGCTAAAGGCCAAAAGAGGTTGTTTTAGAGGCAGGAGTTAGGCCTCAGGCACAGCCAAATACAAAGCGCAGCCTGTAGAGGTCACCTGGGGGCAGCAGTTGGGCCTGGAGCCAACGAAACAGGAGAGCGGGGGCCTTGAGAGGCCGACTTGCTGAACATTTGGGCCTGGATTTGTGGCCTGGACTTGAGGACATTGGGCCTCTGCAAAAAGAAGGCAGGAGCTGGGACTAAGAGCCATTGTAAGGCAGGAGCTGGGCCTGTACAGGCTGCCGGGAGTCAGAAGATGGGCCTCATGAGGCCACTGTAAAACAGGAGCTGGAGTCTCGGAAGGTAGCCGTGAGGCAAAAGCTGGCCACCAGGAGGGCAATGACAGGAGCTGTGTCTGGTGAGTCGACTTGAGAAAGTTCTGGACCTGGAGAAGACTGGGAGGCAGGAGCTGGCTCTAAAGGAGCCGTGAGTAGCGATGGAGCTGGGCCTGTGGAGGCTGTTGTGAGGCAGTAGCCTTATCTGTGGAGACTGCCGTGAGGTAGGGTACAGGCCTAAATAGACCATTGTGAGTCATGAGCTTGGTCTGTAGAGCCGACTGGAGAAAAGTTCGGGGCCTGGAGAGGCTGCAGAGGCTGGAGGCAAGACCTGGGCCAAAAAGATCCAACCTGTTACATTTATTAGGTACTTCTTTCCATTATTAAATTGTGATATATAGTAATTATAGAACTCACCATAATGTAGAATCAGTGGGCATGTTAAGCTTGTTTTCCTGCGACTAGATGGTCCCATCTGAGGTGTGACGGGAGAAAGGACAGATCATTAGGCATTAGATTCTCATAAAGGGACAGCAAAACCTAGATGCCTCACACATGCAGTTCACAACAGGGTGCGTGCTCCTATGAGAATCTAATGCTGCTGCTGACCTGAGAGAAGGTGGAGCTCAGGCGGGAATGTGAGCAAAGGGGAGTGGCTGTAAATACAGATGAAGCTTCCCTCACTCGACACACTCACCTCCCTGTTGTGTGGCTCCTTACAGCTCCATGGCTCAGGGGTTGAGGACCCCTGCTCAGAGTCATCCAAAGGACCCTTCCCACACCAGTCTTCATAGTGGTCCTGTGCAGCAACCACTTAGCTCCCAAGGCATGTGCCTCAGTTGGCATTCATCACAATCAACAGTAGTGGTGGCTTGAGTCACTGTAGAGTCACTTAGCGGAAATCACCAGCATCCCATTTCCCATTGGCAAGGAGCTCAGCACTGTCCCTTGGAAAATCAAACCTATGCCCAAATCCCATCTGTGTGGAGTTTATCTCCTGGGACCCTTCAGTATATTAGTCAGAGTCAATCAGGAGACATAAACCACTCCAAAAGTTTAAAGTGGTAAATTTAATCCAGAAGAGGTATTCATTGTAACAGGGGAACAGCATAATGAGAGGTGGCTAGCACACAGTGAAGAGAACTCTAGAGAAATCAGGACTAGCCCAGGCCAGGCACGGTGGCTCATACCCAAAATTCCAGCAGTTGAGAAGCTAACACAGGAGGACTGCTTAAGGCCAGGAGCTAGAGACAGTCTGGACAACACAGTGAGACCCTGTCTCTATTCAAAAAAAAGAAAAACTTGGCTAGAGTGGTAGTGCACACTTGTAGTCTCAGCTACTCAGGAAGCTGAAGTTTGAGCCTGGGAGATCAAGGCTGCAGTGAGTCATGATTATGCCACTACAGTCAAGCCTGGGTGACAGAGCAAGACCCTGTCTCAAAGAACAAAACAACAACAACCGTTTACAGACAGAAAGGAAATAGAGCTAATAAGCTAAGGAAAGATGTAGAAATGTGACAAGTAAAGTAATATGAGGTCTTTACAATTTAAAATTAACAAAAAATGACATTAAATTATAAGACCCTGTGCTGCCAAGAATGCAGTGATGGGCACTTTCTTATACTATGAAAGTCATTTAAATTGTATATAAGCCTTCCAGGGTAAAGCAAACAATTTTTTAAAATAATAGAACAGGGTCTCATCATACTGTAAACTGCCTCCTCCAACTCTTGGCATCAAACAATCCTCCTGTCTTAGCCTCCCAAAGTGCTGAGATTATAGCTGGGAGACACCCAAAACCTTGTCAATTTACATCAAGGAGTAGCCAAGAATGTCCATTCACATGACTCGGTAATCTTACTTCTGCAAATACAGCAGGAGACAATTCAATCTAAACAAAAAGTCATCTGCACAAACAGTGAAAATCTGGGAGTAACGGAAGACAGAGTGGTTAAGTGAAATAAAGAAACAGTTACAAATTTCCTAAGAACATTCCTTTTTTTTTATAGTGAACAACGGTGCAACTAGCAAATGGTGTTAACAACAGCCTCTTTGGGTCAGCTCACTCCTGCCACCCGCTGAGAGTGCTTGAAACTGAAATCGCAGCTCCACTGCAATCTCAGCCTCCCTGAACTCAAGCAATCCTCCCACCTCAGCCTCCCAAGTAGCTGGGACTACAGGAACATGCCACCACACTAGGCTAATTCATGCTTATTTTTCTGGCAAAGGGATGGTGACTCCTTTGTTTCAAGGCCTGTCTCAAACTCTTGGCCTCAAGCCATCCTCCTGCCTCAGCCTCCCAAAGTGTTGTGATTACTGGTATAAGCCACCACCTGGCCAGCTGCTACTTATCAATATTATTACTCCACTCAGTTAAAAATTCTTATTTTCAAGGCTATGTAACAGTATGTGTCCTACAGCATAACTGTAAAAACATATACAGTCGTCCCTCAGTATACAGACAGAATTAGTTCCAGCCCCCATCTCTGCATATACCAAATCCATGCTTACTCGTTTCGCTGTCACCCCTCTGGAACCCATTATAGAGAGAAAATTCCAAGATAGTTGGGCATGGTCGGCAGCTACCTATAGTCTCAGCCACGTGGGAGGCTGAGACGGAGGATTGCTGAGCCTGGGAGGTTGAGGCTGCAGTCAACTGTGATAGTACTACTACACTCCAGACTGGACAACAAAGCGAGACTCTGTCTCAGAAAAAAACAAAATAAAACAAAACAGGTTAGAAATTGTAATGAGGCCTGTTGGGCAAAATTCCATATAAGCAAAGTATAAATTAATAAAGCAAATGGCGATAAATTAGTATGACTGACTTTAGTTCTGACAATAAAAGGTAGAAAAATGCAAAACACAGAGACAGAGGAGTAAAAGAAATTAGAAAGCATTCAACATGTTTAAGAGGAAGACACTGGCCATGTTTGTGCAGCAGCAGTATGTCACGATATGACATACCTTGGAGAGAAGTTAACAGATAAGGAAGTTCATAAAAATGATCAGAGAAGCAAAATACTGATAGCAATACTCCAGTAAACCTGAAATTTCCACCAACTCATGTCAGCAAAGTGGGAATATTGTACAGTGTGTGTTAAGCGTTCCTATACAACACTGTTTATTTGCATATATTTTGCAAGAATGTATATACTAAAAGTTTTGCTGTCAAAAGAATATGTGTAGTCATTGAACTTATTCTTCTGTTTTTCTATTTTTATCTTCCTGCCATCATCCTACAGCCTTACTTTAGAAATGTTTTATTTGTTTAGAAAATTGAAGAAGTGCTCATTGTGGCAGCTCATACTTCTAGGATGGGAGGCAGAAATTGAAAGGTTATAAGGCCAGGAGTTTGACACCAGCCAGGCCAACAAAGTGAGACCCCATGTCCACAAAACAATTTAAAAATTAGCCAAGTGTCGTCATGTATACCTATAGTCCCAGCTACTCAGGAGGCTCAGACAGGAGGATCCTTGGCCCAGAGGATTCAAGACTGCAGTAAGTTGTGATAGTACTACTGTACTCCAGCCTGGGTGACAGGGTGAGACCTCATCTCCTAAAATAAAAAACAAAGAAAAAAAATAGTTCAAGTAGCAAGTTGTATGTGGCTTATTCTGAATATTTCTAAACTAGAAGTTCTCAATCTTTTGGGGTCTAGGATGTCTTTACATTTTTTAACTTTATTAAAGACCTCTAAGACTATTTCTTTATATAAACAATTATATTAAAACTAGAAAACACAAAATTTTAAAAATATTCATCACATATTAATAAAGTCATTACATGTTGATACAAGATTCTTAAAATATTTAACATTCTTTACATATTAATAATAAAACCATTACATGTTGATATAATACTGCTAAGCTCTTCGCCCAGAAGCTGGAGTGAAGTGGCATAATCTCAGCTCACTGCAACCTCCGCCTCCCGGGCTCAAGCGATTCTCCTGCCTCAGCCTCCCAAGTAGCGGGATTACAGGCACCTACCATGCCAGCTAGTGTGTATTTTGTCAGTAGAGACAGGGATTCGCCATATTGTAGGCTAGTCTTGAACTCTTGACCTCAGGTGATCCACCCGCCTGGAGTCTCCTGAAGTGCTGGGATTACAGGCGTAGGCTACGCAGCCACCTGGTGCTCGGCTCGCCCAGAAGCACTGAGGTCGTCAAGCAGCAACACAGGGCAGGTCTCCTCATTCCCAAGCGCGCGCCCTACTACATAGCTCCAAGACTTACAAAAGGTGTAGAGCTAGAAAATACAACAGACTCATTATTATATTTATGCTATGATACAGGTTCTGCTCTGTCACCCAGACTAGAGTGCAGCTGTGCACTGCAGCTCACTGCAGCCTCGCCTCCTGGGTTCAAGCCATCTTCCTGCCTCAAGCTCCCAACAGCTAGTACTACAGTTAGAGTCTCCACCATGCCTAGCTATTTTTAAATTTTTGTAGAAGTAGGGAGTCTTGTTATGTTGCCCAAGCTGGCCTCAAACTCCTGACCTCAAGAGATCTGCCCACCTCAGCCTCCTGAGTAGCTGGGGCTACAAGCCACCCACATCCACCATGCCTAGCTACATGTATTTAATTTTGAAAAATATTTTTTATAAGAAGCAGATCTTGCTGTATTACCCAGGCTGGTCTTGAACTCCTGCCCATCTAAAGATACTCCATCTGCACTTCCCAGCAATGGGACTACAGACATAGAAGCCACTGCAATAGACAAAAAGAGAATTCTTTAACCTAGCATCCTGCTTACTAAGTTAGGAGAAAAGCAATGGTGTGGCCTAAATTATTAATAATTCAGTAGAATCAGCTCAACGCCAGCCCTCTGCCTTCTCACATCAGTCTGTTAGGAGATCACGTGACTGTCTTCAACACACACCTGATCCCACCCAGCAACTCACAACGCCTCCCCTACTTCTCCTCCTGACCACCTCTCAACACCACCATGACCCTGGCAGGACCAAAATCATCTCCCTGCCTGGATGTTACCCTCACTTGGCCCCATCACTTCTACCCAAATCTTCCCCAGAGTCTTTCTAGACTCAAGCAGCCAGAGAATGCTTTTAAACCGGAAGACAGATCATGTCGCCTCTCTGCTTAGAACCCTCCTGCAGTTTCCCATCTGGAGTCAGTATCAGCCAAAGCCCCAGCAATAACCTCCAGGGCTTACATGATCTGTACTGATCCACCCAGCAACTCCCTGGCCCCCTCCCACGTAATTCTCTCCCTCTCTCTCCTTCTGCTCCACGGCCTGCTCAGAGCCTCAGACACACCTCGGACACTTTATTCTGTTGTTTCTGCCTACAATCCTCTTCCTCAGCACCT